CCATGCCGGCTTGTCGGGGGGGCTGAGGCCTCGGGGGGAAGAGGAGGAGAAAGAGGTGGGGTCTGCCCCAGGGAAAAGTGGACGGGCCAGGCCCCCCCTCCCGGCCCCCCTGGTTCCAGCACCCCTGGTCCCACCAATGTAAGTGCCCTATTACACCAATATAACACCACCACCCTAACTACACCGACATAAGCCCCAGGGCTGTTGGATGTCGCTCTTGTCAATTTCACGGCTCCCTGCTGGAATTGTGAAACTGACAAGGACGCCAAGGTGGGTGGGGGGTTGTCCCCGGGGGCTCCCCACTCCCAGCGGGGAGCCCAGCTGCAGGGAGGCTCCCAGGAGGGAGGAGGGGACCTTGGTCGACTGAAGTTTCTAGCATAGACATGCCCTGCCTGCCTGGTCACCCCGCACCTCGGCGCTGAGAGACCGAGTCTGTTTGGAGTCCGTAGAGGATTCGAGCGCTTTGTTGCAAACTCTCCCGTTGTTTGGTCATTGGCTTCAATCCCCAGCTCTCAGAGTCACGTGATTATGAGCCGATCTCAACTAGCATTGACAATAAAAAAAAAAAAACACCCAAAAACTAGGATGCTTCTCGCCCACCTGGCTGAGGAGAAAAGGTGGGAAACGGGACGTGAGGCCGAGTGCACAGAACCCGCAGTGGGCTGTTTCTCTCATCTAGCGATGTTGGGGGCCGCGTTGTGAGTTTTGGACACTGCGGGGGCTGAAATGCTGGTGTCACAGGTCTAAAGTGACCATCCCAGCCTGCAAGGGGGCAAAAGCGTCTGCCTTTGGGGGGGGCACAGCACCCCCTGCTGGCTCCACAAGGTGCTGCAAACACAGCGCCTAAGCAACAAATCCAGAACTCTGGGGGAGCCTGTGACGAAGTGGGACTGTTCTTAATGTTTCCTCTGAATACTGTGTGCGTGCCTCAGTTTCCCCTATGCATTTCTTAAGTCTCTAGGTGGTGGGATAAAGGCCAGTGCACATAAATCACTGACACTCTGTCCCCCTGGCAACAAATGGCTGGGGCCCCTTCCCCCCTGCAAGGAAATAGCTAAAGGTGAACAAAGAGATCAGGTGACCTCCTGGCCCAGGAAAGAGAAAAAGCCGGGAGAAGGAGGGGCTGGAGGGGGTTTCAGAGTTGGAGCTACCTGGGGACGAGGAGTGAGGGCAGACGTGGGTGTCTGGCTCTCTGAACCCCGAATGGACCCGGCCGAGGGGTCCCGTTTGCCGCTGTACCTACAAGCTCTGTTTTAGACCGTGTTCCTGTCATCTAATAAACCTCTGTGTTACTGGCTGGCTGAGAGTCACGTCTGACTGCAAAGTGGAGGTGCAGGACTCTCTGGCTTCCCCAGGACCCCGCCGGGGCGGACTCGCTGTGGGAAGCGCACGGAGGGGCAGATGCTGAATGCTCCGGGAGAGACTCAGGAGGTGAAGCCATACGAGCTTCTTGCCCTGAAGACGGTCTGCTCCGAGGGAGAGGAGGCTCCCCAAAGTCCTGACTGGCTTTGGGGGGAGCAGTTCCAGAGCATCGCCCGGGGACTCCGTGACAGAGCCCAAAGCCCCTTGGGGATCCCCAGCCTGAGCCCGCAGTTTGTTCTCACTGAACCCCAAGCAGGCCCGCGTCTGGGTGCCGGAAGCTCCTTGCAGGGCATCCGGAAAGGCAACCTCCCTCACTGACAATCTGAGACTCAAACTACCGGCATGGGGGGGGGGCGCACGGGGGACCACAGGGCCGTGCCCCTCCCCCTTTTTAACACACGAAACATAAGAGCAGAATTCATGTCCCCCGCAGATTTTTCTTCCCCTCCCGCAGAATAATCGGTTGGGCCGGGGAGGCACCGCAATGACACCTTTCGCCCACCAGGGGATGCTGCAGTGTCAGAAGAGAGCAGCTGGCTCACCGCAGGAGCACCCACCCGCAGAGAGGGAGGGGCCACTTTGGCCTTGGCTTGCCCCCCCACACACACACACACACACTCACATACACACTTCTACAAAGGTCCCTTCACAATCTGCTGCCCCCAAACTCCTTCCAGACTCAGCCTGGACCTCCTAACATCCCACTCCACAAACACCAGCCTGGGGGCAGCTGTCCAACCCCCATCTCCGGTACGCAGCTCTCCTGCCCACCCCCGCCCCGCCCAGCTCCTTCCCGGGGTACCGGTACCGCGCTGCTGGCTACTGCGCCATTTACCGTCCCTGGTCGCTCGGCGTCGCTCTCACCCCGGGGCCGGAAGACTCTCATCTTGCAAAGGGCAGCACAACGGGTTGTGGGGGGGGGGCAGGGTTGGTTGACACTGAGCAGAGCGGGTGGGGTGGGGGGCTTTTTCTATGGCACAAAGGGATCTGTAATCTGGGGGGGGGCTGCTGAGCAGGGGAGGGAATGGAGGGCTCTGTGCCACCCCATTCTGGGTGTAGGGGGCAGGTTGAGGGGGGCACCAGAGATCCCCAATCAGTGCAAATGCCCCTGGTTGAAGGGGGGGGGCTAGTTCTCAGCACCCACCTCAGGGCTCCAGGCCCGAACCGACAGCCCCAGGATTAGGAAGTGGCCGGGGGCACTCCATGTAGCCACCCCTCCCACCCCCCACGGCCACGCTCTCCATCTGGGGACCCCAAGCAGCAGGGTCACAATGAACAACCCAGATGACAGCGGTGCGGGTGGGGAGCGAGGGGAGCTCCCTGGGGCAGGGAGATGTCTCACTGGGGTCCCCGAGGGAGGTGGGGGGGCATGGCCCCTGGTTCCCAGGGGTTCAGAGGACACCGTGTCCTTTCCGGAGCTGTTTGTGCATTTGTGGCTGGGTGTGGGGGGGCCCCAGGAATGCACCATTTGTTCCATGTGCAGATAAACAGCTGCCGGCGTTGGGGGGGAGGGTGGAATCCGATCCCGGCAGGGGCAGGCGACACCATGACCCAATATGGGCAGAGCGCACGGGAGCCCAGGGCAGGGGACGCCCAGCTGCCCCGAGATGGGGGAGGGGGGGAGGAGGCACCGTAACCCCCAGCACCGGGCGTGAGGGGGGGTGTCCTCCCCCACAACAGGGGCATGTGTAACCCCGAACCTGGGGCCTGGAGCCTTAATGCAACTGGCTGTTAGCTGAGTCTGTAGGGCAGACGCTGGAGGTCTCGGTGACCCGGTGTGTGGGTTACACGTGCCCCCACTTCCCCCCCCCCCCAAACACACACATCTGGGCAGCTGAGGGTCAAGGCAAGAGGGGGGGGAGCTTGGGACCGAGGGGAAGCGGGGGGGAGGGTTCAGATCCAAACACCCCTGGGCCCTCACCACCCCATGCTGGGGAGATGACCCCCTACCCTAGTCCTGCGCTGGCCGAGAGGGGGCTGCAAAGGGATCTGCACCCAGCCAACGCGGCCACGGTCCTCCTGTCCTCCGTGGGCCCAGATCCCAGCCCCTCCCACTGCTACGGAGCTGCCACCGGTGCCCTCCAGCCATGCCCCCGATACGCCCCCATGGGCCCTGGGGGGCAGAGAATAGACACAGCGCAGTGCACCTCGATCCGCCCCCATGGGCCCTGGGGGGCAGAGAATAGACACAGAGCAGTGCACCTCGATCCGCCCCCATGGGCCCTGGGGGGCGAGAGAATAGACACAGAGCAGTGCACCTCGATCCACCACATGGGCCCTGGGGGGCAGAGAATAGACACAGAGCAGTGCGCCTCGATCCGCCCCCTATGGCCCTGGGGGAAAGAGAATAGACACAGTGCAGTGCGCCTCGATCCACCACATGGGCCCTGGGGGGCAGAGAATAGACACAGTGCAGTGCACCCAAACCATGCCCCCAATCCACCCTCTGTGGGGGCAGAGCCTTTAGGCCACCTCCAGCCTGGCTATGAAGGCCCCATGCCAACATCTCTGCCCACTCGACACCGGGGAGGGACGGATTGCTGGGGGAAGCGGGAAGGTGGGTGCAGGGAAGGGGGCCACGCAGCAGAAGGAAGGGGCAGGAAGGCGTCTCCCGGGCGAAGGGGGCCAGGCACTCACCGCAGGGGGAGGAGGCAGGGCTGGCACCAGGGGCTCCGGCGGGGCGGCGTGCTCCGGGTGGGGCTGGCCAGCCGGGTAGAGACACAGACCGTGCTCGGCGGGGGTCTGCGGCGGGTAGTCCTGCAGGGCGCCGGGCGGGCGGAAGGGCGGGGGCAGCCGGGCCGGGGGGTACGGGGCGGGGTACGTCTGAGTCATGGGGTCGGCGGGGGCAGCGGCATCCTGGCTACCCTGCTGGGGAAAGAAGAGGAGAAGTGAGACCAGGAGCAGGGGCCAGGTCCTCCCCCGTTCCCACTTAGCACTGGGGAAAGGGGCCCCCTGCCCGGGTAACACACAACATCTAGCTGAGAATAGAACCCAGGAGTCCTGGCTCCCCACCCCCTCCCTGGCTCTAACTCGCTAGACCTCCCAGAGCCGGGGATAGAACCCAGGAGTCCTGGCTCCCCACCCCCTCCCTGGCTCTAACTCGCTAGACCTCCCAGAGCCGGGGATAGAACCCAGGAGTCCTGGCTC